GGAAACAATCCATCAGTGAGACAAAATCTTGACCTTGCATCTCTCTAACAACACAACTTAAAAATATATAAAGCCGGCCGGCGCCACGGCTCGCTAGGCTAATCCTCCGCCTGCGGCACCGGCACACCGGGTTCTAGTCCCGGTCTGGGCGCCAGATTCTGTCCCGGTTGCCCCTCTTCCAGGCCAGCTCTCTGCTGTGGCCCGGGAGTGCAGTGGAGGATGGCCCAAGTGCTTGGGCCCTGCACCCCATGGGAGACCAGGAGAAGTACCTGGCTCCTGCCATCGGATCAGCGTGGTGCGCCGGCCGCGGCGGCCATTGGAGCGTGAACCAACGGCAAAAGGAAGACCTTTGTCTCTCTCTCTCTCTCACTGTCCACTCTGCCTGTCAAAAATAAATAAATAAAATAAAAATATATAAAGCAAGGGGCTGGCACTTGGTGCAATAGCCAAGTCACTGCTTGGGACATCTGCATCTCATATTGAAGTGCCTGTGGTTCAAGTCCAGGCTACTACACTTCTGACTCAGCTTGCTGCTAATGTGCACCCTGGGAAACAGCAGATGATGGCTCAAGTACCTGAGTCCCTGCCACCCATATGGGGGACATGGATTGGATTCTGGGTACCTTATTTCAGCCCAGCCCAGCTCTGGCTGTTAGCCGGCATCTGTGGAGTGAACCAGTAGATGGAAGATTTCTCCCTTTCTGTCGGTGCCTGTCTCTGTCTCCATCTGTTTTTTTTTGTTTTTTTTTGGTTTTTTTTTTTTTTTTTTTGACAGGCAGAGTGGACAGTGAAAGAGAGAGAGACAGAGAGAAAGGTCTTCCTTTACCGTTGGTTCACCCTCCAATGGCCGCCACGGCCTCCATCTGCCTTTCAAATCAAATGAAAATAGATAGCAAAATCCAACAGAAACTAGCAAATAAAACATAGGAGACTTTTAATAATACTTATAAAATTTACTATTTTAATGTATAGGTTTGTCCTAACCCTGCACTCAACAGTTAGAGAAAACACATACTTTTAAGCACACACAGAACAAGCATTGCTCACACACCAGGGTACAAAGCAAGTCAATAACAAAGCATTTTCATCATATAAACTAAGGTTCTTTATTTTTAAACAAAAAGGCAGCCCCCAAGCCCTCCTGTTTAGAAACTTTATTTAAAAAAAATGTTGGGAGGAAGCAAAGAGACAGAGAGACATAAAGAACTCCCATTAACTTGTCTACTCCTCAAATGCCTCTGACAGCAGGGCCTGGGCAGAAGCCCAAAGCTAGGATCTAGAAACCCAATCCAGGTCTCCCATATGGATGTCAAGGATCCAGCCACAAGAGCCATCGCCACTGCCTCCCAGGGAGGGCATTAGTGGGAAGCTGGAGTCAGGAGCCGGAGCTGGGAATCAAATCCAAGGTGTCTTAACTCGGGTCTTGACCACTAGGTCAAACACCACCTCATTTGGAAACCCTAAAAAACAATTCTCAATTTATGGTTCATTACATAAGTCCTAAAGGAAATTGCAAAGTGTCTAGAACTGAAAGATAATAAAATTTGCTAATCAAGACTGAAATGCCACAGAAGCTGCACTTAGTTCATGATTTTAAAAGATTAATAAGCTAAGAATCACAAAAGAAAAAAAAAAAAACAATGAAACCAAAATCAAATAGAAGGGCAAAAATTAATGAAACAGAAGACAAACAGGGAGGACCAAGCCAAAGACTGCTTCTTTGAAAAGACAGAAAATAAATTTCCAACACGAACGATAAAAAGAAAACAAATACTAGGAATTAAAAAGGGAACAAAAGTAGATGCCATCAAGTTTTCAAAAAGAAGCCATTACTATAATAATTTCATAAACTTGAAAGCGGAAGAAATGGACAATGTTCTAGAAAATATGAGACACAGAGGACTACTGCTATGGTCAGCTAGGATTGAAGTTATTGGGAAGAACATCACAGAAAAGGAGGTCTTTGAAGATGGAAGGCCTTGGGAGAAGGCACGCCAGATAGGGAAGATGAGAGAGAAGAAAGGAGTAAGGGACTCTGAAGTAAATGGGATAGACGTGAATGTGATTCTAGAACAATGTCCACTTGGTCTGGACATTACACTCACCCCAGGGGATCTTTCAAAAACAACAACCAAAAATTTTCAATGGTTAGGCCAAACCTCAGTAAATCAATCTCTGGGCTGGACTGTGATTACATTTCTCAAATAAGTTTTGTCTGGCGAGTTTTAACACTAATAATATATGCGAGCACTAAGAATAAAACTGTGGCTTTGTGTATTTTCTGTTACTGTAATCTCACATTTTTAATGACATGCTTTGATTATTTCCTTCTCCCAGCCCCAAATCACTGTATCTCTAGGCAATGTAAACTAATTGTATTAGAATAAACACAATACAAATAAAAGGCAAAGACCTAAAATCGATCAAAACTGTAGAATCAAACATTGTTCTTGCAGGGGAGAAATGCTTTTTCATCTTTTGGATTATCTGTGTCATTGCTTTCACCTCTCCTCAGAAGTGTAGTTAATCAAGAACTGAGTACACTTGAAAAGCCAAATCACAGACTAGGAGACAATATTTGCAGTACATACTTGCACACCCAAGGACTTTAATCCAGAATATACAAAGACTATTTACAAATCAATAACGTTAAAAACACACCTTATACAAGAGGATATCAAAATGGTCAGTGGAAAAATGCGAGTTCAATATTGTTAGTCCTAAGAAGGCAGATTAAAAGGGGAATGGCTAAAATAAAACAGACTGAGAACAAGTCTTAGTGAGGATGTGGAACCACTGGAACTTTGTCACATTGCTGGTGAGAGCACAAGTTAGTACTGCCACTGTGGGAAAACGTTAAGCGGTACCTTCTAATGCTAAACTTACCTTATTTCTGAGCAATTCCATACATGTATGTTTATGTCCACCAAAAAGCACATCCTGCAATGCTCACTGTGGCTCTATTCAAAGTAGCCCAGATCTGAAAAGCACCCCAATGTCCAGCAGTAGAATGGGTCCACCGTGCTCCAGTCACACAGCAGACTCCTGTGACAATGATGGTGAGACTCTGTTGTCATGTATCACATGACCGACTCCCAGAGGCATGATATTTAACGAAAGAAGGGACACGAAACAGTCCCTATGGCATGATTCTTTTTATGCAAAGTCCAAGAACAACAACAACAACAAAGACAATGTATGGTAAAATAATCCCGCATATTAGCTACTCCTAGATGTGTATGCATGTATGGTTACAGACTGGGAAGGGGTCTAAGAGGAACTTTGGGCTGCTGAAAAATTCTGTATCATATCGATGTGGCTGTTTGACTGATTTCTACAGCTGTGAAAGTTCAAGCTGCACGTGTAACATTTTGCACACTTTACCATATGTAAATGTTATACCTCAAGAAAAAAAGGGCACTTTATTTTGTATCTTTTAAATTTCATTTGAAGGCGGAATGAACATCAGACACAAGCCGCTAAGAGTTGAAACACGACTACTTTACAGTTTTGAAATGAAATCAACCTTGGCCCAAATGGTTCATATTAAAAGGCTGTAACGCTGAGATCTGAGTATATACATTTCTTACTGACCAACGTGTATGAACAAATACAGAGTTTGCAAAAAGGTGAACCGTAGGTTGGGATCTATTTAGGATTTTACAGAAAAGCCTCATTTCAACATATGATAAAAGAGAAATTTTAAAATAAAACATTGAAAAGTTTTGAGCCACATGTGTTTCCACAAAAGAGCTCTCCCTAATTCTCTAAAAACTGCTGACCTTTTCAAGAGGGAGTAGAAGGCGGCGTGGGCAGTGTGCCTTGTTAGCCTTACAGGATTTACCCCATTCAGAGTTCAGGCTAACAAACATAGAGATGGTCAGAATGCCTGCCATCTCATCCCAAGTACAGGTTGTTCTAGAAGGAAGGGAGACTGTATAAGATCCACTCATTTTTGTAACAGGTCAATTTATACTTTTACCAGTTTTTTTTTTTGGATGACTAATAAGAAGGAGAAAAAAAGATTACAGATAATATATTTTTCTGTGCTTAATATTAAAATGCTCTTTCAATTAAGTGTAAACATTCCATGCTTCAGTACAAATGGAAGCATTGGGACACCTGAATAGTACTATAGAATCTCTTTTCTAGATTGCATTTATTCACTCCAATCCAGAGAAAGAAGAAAGAAGGGAAGAATGCACATGCCTTAGAAATGAGAAAGGAAAGAATCGGTGTGCATTTCCTTTTCAAATGAAATCCAGCCTTTAAAAAAAAAAAACCTGCTGAAATCTATGGGTTTATTTTATGAATCTCGGGCCGGAGGATTTCAGAGACTTAAAACAACATGAGGGCTCTATTTCTGCAGCTAATACATTATATTAATAGTTCATGATAAATGAGTCCAGTTTCTGAAATGCCCACAATAAAAAAGCTAACCCTCCAGCTTTTAGGCTGCCTGATGCTATTTTTCTGGGTGTGGATGGAGTAGGAGCCTGGGTGGAGAGGAGTGTCCTGTGTCAAGTTGCCAGTCTCCAACCTTCCATGGAGCATGATGGATACAGGGATGATGGATACAGAAATACATGTTCCAAAGCTTTCATAATAATCAAAGAACAGAGCCGGCGCCGTGGCTCAATAGGCTAATCCTCCGCCTTGCGGCACCGGCACACCGGGTTCTAGTCCCGGTCAGGGCGCCGGATTCTGTCCCGGTTGCCCCTCTTCCAGGCCAGCTCTCTGCTATGGCCAGGGAGTGCAGTGGAGGATGGCCCAGGTGCTTGGGCCCTGCACCCCATGGGAGACCAGGAAAAGCACCTGGCTCCTGGCTCCTGCCATTGGATCAGCGCGGTGCACCGGCTGCAGTGGCGGCCATTGGAGGGTGAACCAACGGCAAAGGAAGACCTTTCTCTCTCTGTCTCTCTCTCTCACTGTCCACTCTGCCTGTCAAAAATTAAAAAAAAAAATAATAATAATCAAAGAACAGAATCAGAACACAGCCATTTGTAATTGCTCTATTTATTAATACATATATCACAAATGTTCACAATATCAATGCATTCTTGTTGGCATGCTAGACAGAGGCATTATTTTTAAGATCTTTTAAAAATATTTTGACTTTTGTTCCCCCTTCACACTCATTTTTAAACTGATCCGATGAGGTCTTCAATGTGTGTAATGTCAACGCAAGAAAAAAAAAATACAGAAGAAGTAAAATAACACAATTGCAATTAACTGGGGAAAACAAAAGTGATGTCATTGCCTTCACAGGAAGCAATAGTATAGCTTTGTAACAGGATTGTACAGGTTTCAACTGAGAGGCAAAGTTACACTCAACTGTCCCTACATACCCAGATATGGAACAATGAGAAAGGAGGCCACCCAATGCTCAGTGACAATGCCCGTCATGCATGACACATGCTCTCTCCTCCTCACGGGCAATTACTGATGTGTCGCTGTGTATGTCCTAGGTAGCCTAAAGAAGGTAGGAAACGGCCTTAGTAAAGGGAAAACCCAACCAAACAACATTAAGCCAAAAGAACAGGTAACTATTGTCTGCTTATCTATGTAAAAGTGTGTGGCATTTATCGACCACGGTGAGGGGCTTACAAGAGCCTGCCACACTACATGCAGGCCCCAAAAGGGCCAGTGATGGGTGCAATCACCAGTCACCTAGGATGAGCTGCAGGTGGACCAAGTACAAATGGAAGAGCTGGCACACACAGGGCCTCGGGGGTCGGGGGTGGGGGGTTCACTAGGACTAGCTGCAAGGGGATCTGGCTACACTCTGTGGCACAACAGGGCTTCACAAGATGGACACTACACATGATGAGTGCTGTAGGGTGAAGCAGAGACTGGGCTGGAGTGTCAGTTGCACGCAGGGATGGGGGTTAGGGTAGTAGGGCAAGTGGATTATGCACTGTGCTCTAACATTCTTTGGAAGTCTTTCGAAGATTTCTGCAGTTTCATTTTAAAACAGGTCTCTTTTTCCATCATTCTTGAAAGACTAAAAGAAAAATTAAAACATGTAATTCATCATTAGTAAGAATTAAAAAAAAAAAGGTAGCAGTACCAATCACACCTCCTCCCCAGCACCATGGAAAGGAGATTTTCACACGTGGACAAGTACCATAAAATCAGGTAGTTAAGTGGCCAGGCAGCATGCCTGCTCCTTCGAAGGGCAGCACGTGTTCCAATGGGGAACTCCCAAAATTAACACTCCCCTCCCCCGCAAACACTGCCACTCACCTTCTCCTTACACCATCTCATACTGATTGGCCGTGATGAACCGGGACAGACAGCAGGCCAGAAGCATGCCAATCAGCTGTTTCCAGGGAGAAAAAAACCAACAATGACAATCTCAGATCACTGGACTACCCCCTATTTTGAGCCATAAATGTAATTTTTAAATTTTATTTCAACGGAAAAAGAATCATTGACTATGTTTATGGATATGATGTGATCTTTCCATAGATGTACATCCCTCAATGTGAATTTTAACTACTGATGGTTTCTGGATATGAATATAGAAAGGGCAAGAGAGAAAAATATCAAATCTGATTTCATTTGTGAGATCTCTCACCGAAATACTGGGTGAGGGTCAACTGGAGGTTCTGGAATTAGTCATAACAGTCTAGCTCTAACTCTATCTGGCTATTTAAGAACAACTTTTGACATTGAAATAGCATTAAAAGTTGTTAATGCTAGGAGAGTAAAGAAGAAATTAAGTATCACAACTAGTGAGACATAAACTAACAGGGCTAAATTTAATTCAAAGCCATAGCACATGCATTTGGAAAACTTCTCAACCTAGCATGAGACTCCTGTCATACCGGGATGATAAAATACTAGTTCTTTCCTTGAGACAAGAATAAGACACTATGCTTAACTAGGTATACTTGCCAGTAAAGCGAAGAAGAAACACTTGTGAGAGGTACGAGAGGAAAGGGAGAGTGGGGCTTTAAATTCTCTGTCTCTCAGTCATGTGGATATCTCGGCCTAAGTGAGTCCATCTACCCTCAAGGCCCTCCTCCTAGTTTTTCAGGGATCCCAACACAAAAGAGTATCTCCTTCCTCAGAAGACCCTAGTCCTCTACCTGTCTTAGTGCTTTACCCTAATCTATGGCACAGGTGAATCTGAAAGAAATGGTTGTGAGACCATCAAGACACCCCTAAACAACGTTGTTCTGCTCCTTAGAAGCCAAACTTCTCATTCATGAACCTGATGGATTAATATTCCTTGGACAGGAGCCCAACTGGGCACTTGAGCCTAGAGGCTGCCTTCTCTTGGCCAATGTAGTCCTTTCTCGTTATGGAATTGGGGTGGGAATGACCTTAAGATATAATCTGGTGCAGTGTCACTCACTCAGAGTGTGTCCCCAGGACCAAAAGCATCAACATCACCTGGGACCTCCTGGTTACAGAATACACATTCTCAGGACCCCCCCCCCCCAAGACTTGATGAATCAGACACTCTGGGGTGCGGGACCAGCGGCTGGTGTTTCACAAGGCCTCCAGGGGGGAGGGACTCACTCATCCAGTCTACCTAGTTAGTCACTCTTATCTTACAGGTGAGATACCTGCAGCTACAGTGCCTCTCACTGTTGGTCATGGTGACACCTGAACTCCGTTCTCCTGGCTCTTAACCCACCTGTGCAAATTCCAGTCCCCAATTCTTATCTTGCTTTCCAAAATTAAAATTGTGCTGTGAAATATACAAACTGTAACCTCTTTCATATATATGAAAAAAAGACATCACCCTGTTGGACTCACCCTATCTCCTCCCTAGGCTCTAGTCAACATCATTTTGTGCCAGAAATAGTGTTATGCATTTGCCATCAAGTGGCCAAAAGTAGCATGGCTGCACCCTCCAGCATATTCTGCCAATTGAGAAACTAAAATCCTCCCTTGAGTACAAGGACTTTGAATGTTAGTCTATCCCTTTTTATTGGAACTGCCATTTTTCAGGACCAACAAGCACCAGAATATGTTAGATACTGCCAAAAAATCAGGTTCCAGCCAAAAGACAGAAATTAGAGATATAGAAGAATTCAGAATAACAAGTTATTGCATCTTTACATAAGCCTGTGCAATATTATAACCCTGATTTTCAAGATAACAGAATGGGTTGATAAGTGTAAACAGTATTTCCCAAAGCATGAAGCGCTTAAGGCTATACCCCATCTCCCCTCACCCAAAAGAATAGCCCCAGCTTTATCCTGCCTTCTACACAGGGAAGGGAAACAGGCCTCCAAAGGGCCTGGAGAAGAATTTCGGGCACATAATGAATCATCCCAGTAGGCAATGGGCCCTAGGGGAGGCCGTGCGGGGAATGAGGGTAAGGGGATGGATGGGTGGGATCTGTATTTCCTGATGAGCAACTTAAATACCATAGGCTCAAACCCTTTGCTATAAGAGAACACAATGCGTTTTGTTCAGGTGCTACCTGAGGCAGAAATGAGAACGACCTTTGACCTCCACATTTAGTATGGCAGACCAGGCGAGGACGCCAGAGGCAGAACCCTGGATCCATGGCAGCTGCTCAATCTCGAGCAAGCCAGTGAGCCCCTCCCTTCTGGAAACCAGCTCTGTCCTCTCCACTCGTGACCATAATAAGTGCACGAATGGGGCGCGGATCCCACCCAATGGGTTCCAAGTCTAGCAAAGCCCTGTGTTTGTAAACCTTGGCTACTCAACTGCAAAAAACAGAGGCCCAGAGAATACTCTACCTCCCACTAAGTGCACACACACACACACACACACACACATACACACACACAGCCAAACCAAGGTGCAAAGCAGTATTGCAGACCAAGCAACACAAGTGTCTGGGCACCGCATACTCCTGGCTTCCTGCTTCCAGCCCCTTTTGGGTGCCGGGAGGTAGGAAGAGAACATGCAGACAGACAGTACCTGCGTCAGAGTTCACGCGCCATGGCAAAGCCTGCGCAAGACAGCACAAGATCTGACAGAGCGCATGCGTGCAGAGAGAAGGCGAGTGCAAGACAGAGTGGCAGGAGAGCAAGAGCTCCTGTGGGAGACCACTCTGTGAGTGCACACGAGATGGCAGAGTGTGTACAGCAGAGCCCATGAGAGCAGCGAGTGTGGGGGAGGGCATGAGACAGGATACGGGAGCCAGCACGTGCAAAGTGCAATGCCGGAGAGCAGACGACAACACACAAGCACGTGAGACAGGACAGGGGGCCGCTGGCGTGCGCGCACCAGCAGGCAGCACAGGAGGTGTGAGACAGCACAGGGCTTGTGTTGGGGAGCAGAGCGCACGAGAGCACGTGACAGCAAGGCGGGCAGGGGTGCGAGTGCAGCAGAGAACGAGAGAGAGAGAGAGAGAGAGAGCGCGCGCACGCACGAGGGAGAAAGCAAGTGCGTTCCCCTACCCCCACGTGCTCGCGCAAGCTCTCTCTCCCGCAAGTCCTCCTGAGAGAAACAGTAGCTGCCAAAGACGCAGGGAAGAGGTATCCCACCACACTACACCCAACGCCGTGCTGTCATCAACAGGGCAGCAGGATCTCCGCATCAAGTCTTCACGGATGGGCTTTTCCTTGCCAGAACAAAGGCAACGAGCCTCTGCGGTGAGAAGTATGAAATAGCTGACAAAATCCTGCCATCCAAACAAGGCTTTTAAGTGAGCGAGGGCAGCTAACAGGAGACAAAGTTCTTTTTTTTTTTTTTTTTTTTTTTTTTTTTTTTTTTATTTTTGACAGGCAGAGTGGACAGTGAGAGAGAGAGACAGAGAGAAAGGTCTTCCTTTGCCGTTGGTTCACCCTCCAATGGCCGCCGCTGCAGCCGGCGCACCGTGCTGATCCGATGGCAGGAGCCAGGATCCAGGTGCTTTTCCTGGTCTCCCATGGGGTGCAGGGCCCAAGCACCTGGGCCATCCTCCACTGCACTCCCTGGCCATAGCAGAGAGCTGGCCTGGAAGAGGGGCAACCGGGACAGAATCCGGCGCCCCGACCGGGACTAGAACCCGGTGTGCCGACGCCGCAAGGTGGAGGATTAGCCTATTGAGCCACGGCGCCGGCTGAGACAAAGTTCTTTTACAGCCCATCGAAAGGTGAGACTTGGCTCTCCTTGTACTTTATGCCGCCTTTCAGACTTATTTATTTACTTGAGCAGGGAGAGACAGAACTTCCATCTGCTGCTTCATTCTCCAAATGGCTGCAATATCCAGAGCTGGGCCAAGCGGAAGCCAGGAGCCTGGAACTCCATCTGATCTCTCAGGTGGGTGGCAGCGGCCAAAGTCCTTGGGTCATCGTCTGCTGCTTTCCCAGCCACCAAAGCAGGAAGCTGGATCAGAAGCAGAACAGCTGGGACTTGAACGAGCACTCTCATATGAGATGCTGGTGTCACAAGAAGTGGCTTAACCCACGGTATCACAATGCCAGCCCCTTTATACCACTTTTAATCTTTGCAGCAATAAACGTGCAATGCTAATTTCTTCCAAGGAGGTCACAAGAGCAGGTGAAGAGGAGGGCAAGAAGAAGGTGGAGGGAAGGGGAGGGAAAGTGAGAGGAAAAATGAGCTCTGAACAGAGCCAAGGCACAGGCGTAGGCAAGTCAAGCCACAGGCCACACAACTGGTTCATCAACAGCAGCCAGCATCTGCTACGTTTTACTAGGACATTGCCTCTTTGATTTCTGAACGCATGTAGCCAAAGCTTTGCTTCCAGGTCACTGGCCCGGATCAGTAGAGCTCATTCTTCCTCAAGAGCCATCTGGCAAGTGGCAACCACTGTTCCCAGGAGGCCCTGGATCTACTGGCATCTGGACGCCAACTTCAGCTTCCAGGAACCCTGAGGTTGCTGGCACCATAAACACGTGCAGTTTCTAGTTCGTCTGCCCAGGTAAGGCCAGCACGGCTATTCCTCTCACTGCCCCAAGCAGAACAAAGCAGATCCCAAGTCTGTGCCATGCTGGTCCTGCCTGGCCAAGTGAGAGAGTGGCACCAGCTCTTTAACACCACTGGGATTTGTGTTTTGTTGTCTCATTCCAACAATGATGTGGTACCTCGATGAAACCTAAACTCACTGCTGACAGTTCCTGCACTGCGGTTTCTTGGGGCCAAATCTCCTGTCTCACTGCCCCAGAGGTCACAGAGCATACACAACCTCCAGATCAGGGATTTCTTTAAGAGAGCAGACCGATTCAGGCTCATTAGGCAAGATAAACATTTGTCCAAGTATGAATTGCTTCCCAGGGATGTGAGAGAGAGGAGTGGAGGAGAGCTACTCAGCAGACCCTTCAGCACCTGCAGAATGACACAGTTACCTTCTGTCATCTCACTAGCGGAAGTAAGATCCTCCTCCCCACCACACCAACGCACATGGCCACAAGGGAATATTCTTGGATGAGAAGATACTTTGACATTCTAGGCTCTTTGAGGCTCTCTTCTCCTCACATACAGTCCTGACTTCATGTCCCTTTAGGGCTTTAAGAAAGCTATTAGTGGAGCCTTCAGCAATACTTTTGCCTCCAAGGGGACAGTCCTCCTCAAATGCCAAACATAAACCCTTTGGGTTTTAACAACCTGATGCTACATGGAAATGTATTCAGTGAACAGTATGTTCAAGGCTGTCGAGTGCATCCTGTCCATTTCCATCAGTCAGGAGGTTTGGGATCCTCTAAAATGGAACCCCAGCAATGACAGAGATGTCACTCAGTGTTATTATTGAAATATTATAGAAAATTTTGAAATGTCTCTGGGGATTGAATTAATTGGCATTGTTCATCACCCCACTGTGATTTGTCTGTGTGTTGATGTGTTAATGGTTTAATTCACTTCATGGCTGAAAAAAAAATGAAGCATGGTAAAGAGAATTTTGCAATGGCAACAAGAGGAGCTGGCATTGTGGCATAGCAGGTTAAGTCACCACCTGCAACGCTGGAATCCCATATGGGTGCCAGTTCAAGTCCTGGCTGCTCCACTTCCAATGCAGTTCCCTGCTGGTAACCTGGGAAGAATAGCAAATGATGGCCCAAGTGCTTGGGCCCTTGTACCCATTTTTGAGACCCGGATAAAGCTCCTGGCTTTGGCCAGGCCCAGCCCTGCCAATTTCAGCCATCTGAGGAATGAACCAGCAAATGCAAGATCAATCTCTCTCTGTGTCTCTCCTCCTCTCCCTATAACTGACTTTCAAATAAATTAAAAGAAGACACTGCAACAAGAAACACACTTGTCTTCCAAGTCCACATGCACTTGCGGGATGCAATGTCACACAGATTGGGGGAAGATAAGCTATTCTGCATTTCTAAGGCTAAAGTCTCTATTTCGAACAATTTCTTTCTTTTTTCTTTTTCTTTTTTTTTTTGACAGGCAGAGTTAGAGAGAGAGAGACAGAAAGGTCTTCTTTTTCCGTTGGTTCACCCCCAAATGGCTGCTGCAGCTGGCACATTGCGCCAATCCAAGGCCAGGAGCCAGGTGCTTCCTCCTGGTCTCTCATGCGGGTGCAGGGGCCCAAGCACTTGGGCCATCCTCCACTGCACTCCCAGGCCACAGCAGAGAGCTGGCCTGGAAGAGGAGCAACCAGGACAGAATCCAATGCCCCAACTGGGACTAGAACCCAGGGTGCCGGTGCCGCAAGCGGAAGATTAGCCAAATGAGCCACGGTGCCGGCCTACAACAATTTCTAAGGCTAAGGTTCTATTCTTTGATCTAAGTGATGGTCACACAGGTATATTCATTTTATGAGCACTTATTAAGCTGCAACTTAAAATTTATGCACTTCTCCACAGATTCCATATCTCAATACAGAAGTCTTAGAAGCGAGCAAATGTGAATAAAACTGAAAGAACATCTACATTGCTGGGTACACTGGAAGGGGTGAGAGGCATGGAGGGAAAGAGCCGGTGTGGAACCAGGGGCTGTGAAAACGCTGCAACAACACTACTCGGGCCTTCTTTGAAAAATGATCTGTTGTTCTGAAGAAAGTCTGAGTTAGACAAAAAGAACGTTTGGATGTGGTCACTAAGCACACAGGTCAGTCCTTCTATTCAAAGCAATATTCTAACAAGGTCAGGACATTTGGCTGGGAGATGAGAAGCCCGTGGGATGGTAGCCTGCCCCAATGGAGGTAGGCTCAATTTCAGATTTAGCTGAACATTGGTTCCATCCTTGAGTATATGTGGTTCACTTAATTTGCGTAAATTGGGGGGTAGCATTGTGGTACAGTGGATTAAGCCGCTTCCTACAGCAACAGCATCCCATATTAGAGTGCCAGTTCAAGTACTGGCTGCTCTACTTCCTATCCAGCTCCCTGCTAATGTGCCTGGGAAAGCAGCAGAAGATGGCCCAAGTGTCATCTTGGATGGCATGGGAGACCAGGATAGAGTTCCAGGATCCTGGCTGTTGCAGCCATTTGGGGAGTGAACCAGTAGCTAGATCCCTCTCTTTCAAACTCTATCTTTCAAATAAATAAATCTTAAAAGAATTATGTAACGATTTCTCTCATCATTATTAGAAAGAAGGGATGGGGATAAAGGAATATAAAATTCAATACACAAAAATTTGGTTTCCTCTTTTAAAACAGAATTGTCAAGCCTAGAGATTAAAGTAATGATCACAAGGTGAAGTTTGTTAAATTTAGGCTTTATGCTAAGGGAGCAATTTCATGCGAAATCCATAAGAACTAAGAACAAAGAAGGGACTGGTCAATCAGGGAAAATAAGCTTTGCCCAGATCCAGATCAGCCATTTGATGTTTTGAGTTGTTTATGCTCCAATTAAGCCAGCACGTTGTTCAGTTAACCTCCATTTGACCTACAGAAACAGCAAGTTGTTTTTCTGGGGCTAGTCATTAGTTGAACTGTAACTGATATTCCCTTGATGACAAAACTTCATTTAAGTTGAAAAAGGAAAATCAATGAACAGATGACCTGAGGACTAACGAGCAAGGAGCCCTGACCCCATCTATCAGCCTTTCCCAAGGCACAGGAAAACTGGATGAGAATGTGAAGGCCTGAGGAGAGAAGCAGAGTAGAAAGGAGGTGACCGACTAGACCAGGCTTTGCACAATTCCGTAGGCTACCTGGGAGAACGCGATTCCGAATGCCACTCCAGCGATGATCCCCATGTTAGTCTCCATGAAACTGGTCACCAGATCATAGCAACCCTGGGAACAGAGAAGTACAGTCAGGGAGATGTGTTTTGCCCAGGCCAGGCAGGGCTATATGCATTTGCAACACTCCCACATATTCTGCAATTTTAATTCAGCAAGTACAAAGGTAACTCATCCCAAGGACTTACTAGCATTCATTTTGAACGAAACAGTACTAACAAAAAAGTCAAACATATAAAAAAGTATAAAGTGCAACAAATCCCCATATGACCCTTCCCCTAACATCATAACATATGGCCAATCTTGTTTCACTGAAACCTCCCAGACTGGGGCTGGCATGGTGGTGTAGCAGGTAAAGTTGCCGCCTGCAGTGCCAGCATCCCATATGGGTTCCGATTTGAGTCCTGGCTGCTCCAATTCCGATCCAGCTCTCTTCCATGGCCTAGGAAAGCAGTGGAAGATGGCCCAGGTCCTTGGGCCACTGCACCCATGTGGGAGACCTGGAAGAAGCTCCTGGCTCCTAGTTTCAGACGGGCACAGCTCTGGCCATTGCAGCCATCTGGGGAGTGGACCAGGGAATGGAAGACCTCTCTCTCTGCCTCTGCCTCTCTGTAACTCTGCCTTTCCAATAAATAAATAAATCTTTTTAAAAAAAAAAAAAAACCTCCCAGACTCCCATTCCCAGCTGGATAAATGTAAAGCGAATATTGGACATATAATTTCATCCACAAATGTTTCAGTAGTAGCATTCAATTTAGCCAGAAATCTCTAAGATCTACCCAAGTAGGCTGGAACAGATGAGAAGGCATTCCAAAACCTTAAACAGGAAATCTTAGCATCATAGTAACTAGCATTTTGACAATGAATGACAAAATCTTGAATAAATAGAGTGAAATCATGTGATTAGAGAGAGGTGCTTGAATACTTGCCAACTTTATCCAGTTGCAGAGCTCTTCCTAAATAGAAGAGTTTTTTTGGTTTTTCTGTTTTTTTTTTTTTTTTTTTTCTTTTTCTTTTTTAAATAGGGAAAACCTAAGTTCTGGAGTCAACTTTTACAAAAATTCACTAACCTTCAAGAAATTTACTTTCCCTTCCTGGGTGTCGATTAACTTTATCCATAAAATGAAGAGCATTTCCTTTTAACATATCATGAAACCTTTCAATGTCAAGACCAAAAGTAATCATTATTGCCAATTGCAATGTCACTTTAAGACTGATAAAATGAATTACCTGTCTTGAAGATGAGTGATCAGGCTGCAGTTCAGCAACATTGGCAAGCATTTGGTTTTTATTATTCTTGGTCACACTTTTATAAACCTAATCCAGGTGGGAAACACCAAATTTTGTGTTTCACCGATAACACAAAGGCAAAAGCTGACTCTTTCTGTTAAACCCTGACTCTTAGGTCAAACAAAAGGGGCAGGAGTCAAAGGGTATATGCCCGTGTCCATGTGTGTATTTGTATGGAAATGGCCAAATCAACCTAGATTCCTGAATTGATTTATTCAGCTAGGAAGATATGACCTTTTTCCAGTTTTCTGAAAAAGAGTTTTCATGTAAATGTATAAAGTCTATGAAAAATGAAGACATTAATTTAATAAACAGGGTAAAGGTTGTTCTTGTTTACCAAGAAAGGCACACTAAGTTGTAATAACACCTGAAGAACAACAAAAATCCCAGTGCATCTCCCATCATTAAATTCTACAGGTAACAATTTGCCATCCTCATAGCTTGTAAAAACTGTGCCAGGCTGTATCTTAGACACTTCCAGTCTGTTTGCAGAGAAAAGGGTTCATTAACTTAGCAGCACTGCTATGGCACATGTTTTCAGTGCAATTGACAAACTCCTTAGTTATCAGATGCAAATTTGAAGGCCAGGGTGCAGGCGGCAAAGGAAACACATTATTGCTCATGGCAAGTTTCCAAATTTGATTCTTTACAAGTAGAAGCTTGCTGCTTTCACTTGTACTAGTGAAACTCTATCACGGTATTTTTCAAAAGATAGTAGAATGGAGAGGAGTCTAGATTAGGAAGAAGTCTGAGGTGGAAGAGAAGTGAATATTTTTCCTTGATACTTTTTTCCCACCTTAGTGTAATATTAATACAAAGAGGACAGACTCAATGTAGTTCATAGATGTAATTCTAAGAATGTCATGATATTCCCTTCACCCATCCCTTCCCTACTTTCTTTCTTTCTTTCCTTCCTTCCCCCCTTCCCTCCTTTCTTATTAGTTTTTGAGATAACATATTTTAATTAACATTAATGTCAAGGACTTAATGCTCTACAAATAAACAGATCAACAAGTAAAAAGTAAACAGACCCTAGCTCAGCGGTTATATAGGCAAGGGTTATAAACAATAGTGAAACGGCAAGATTTTTTAACAAATATCTGAAACGCATCAAGAAAAGGGTTTTTTATTATTCATCTTGAGATGATTTTTTCACATGCAGTTGAAAGAACCTATCCTCCTATGGTAACATCCTTCAAAACTGTAGATGGGGTGGGAGTTTGGTTCAGTGGTTAAGACTCTGCTGGGGATGCCCACATCCCATATGGGAGTAACTGGGTTTCAGTCCTGGCTTTTCTGCTTCCAACTCTAGCTTCCTGCCAAAGCACACCCTGGGTAGCAGTAGGTGATAAGTCAAGTATCTGGGTCCTGGCCTCTCACATGGGAGACCCAGATTGAGTTCCAGGCTACTAGCTTCCACCTGATCCAGCCCTGGCTGTTGCAGGCATCTGGGGAGTGAGGCAATATATTTCAGGCAGGATATCGAACGATGGTATAGTCAAGGTTCAGAACATTAGCATCACCACAAGGGTCCCTCCCGCTGCCCTTTCAGAACCACAACCCTCTCCGTGTTGGGAGTAGCTATAGCCTTTAGCCACGTGTTGCTGTGCTGGCCACCAGCAGTGAAGACTCCATGCAGGAAAGAGGTCCAGCACCAGAGTGAGGTCAGCTCGAAAGAAGGAAACACAGGCTCCGTAGTACAACGCAGAGAGAAGCAAGGTGGGCCATGTTCGTACTTGGAAAAACTAAATAGTCTGGCGTATTCTTTTTCTCTGAGCTTCAATTCCACACCTAAGCCGAATATACTGTTCTAAAGTATGATTTCTACTCCAATTTAGCAGATCTTAGAGTCACTGACACTTTGTTTTTTAATAAGACCACACCAACCAGTAAGAAAAACTAGAAAAATAAAATAACTACCTGTCAGTAATACATCTGCGGCAAAAGAATTTTTTCTAAACCTTCCTCCACAATGGGTGACTCTTGAATGCGCAGCATTGCATCACGTGGGAGCTTGTTAAACATGAAGAACCTGAGGTCCCAATGCAGACCTACTGAGTCAGGAGCCATCAAATGTTAAAGAAGTTTAACAAGCTCCCTAGGTGTTTCCCATGCCCGTTAAAGTTTGAGAAGCACTCTTCCATAGGAAAAGACTCATCACTATTCTCTCCAAATAGGAAGGCAAATCATGCCAGTGACGGTATTACTTAAAATGAGAAGATGAAAATGATACAGCCTTTTTTAATGAGATCAATGTCAAAATAAAGGTTTTCCACTTCTGCCTTTTCCTCTCTCATTCACCACGTGGACCCACCAGTTCATTTTCCAGATCTCAGCACAGCTCTGCAGACTGCAAGAACCGCTTTGGTAATACAACCGCGGGCCATGTTGGCTTTCAGCCTTGCGATCACCACTACACTCTGATCTACCTACCCACAGAATTCTCTCTCAATTTCCTAATATGAAAGCCTGGTTGTCAGGTGTGAGATCAATCTACAGAGACTTGCTAAGTCTCCTAGGAAACGCCCCAAAACAGAACCTTGAATTTGCTCACTCTCTCAGCATGTCTAAATCAGCACAGTCACCAATGGAAAACACCTGCAAGTGGTAGGCCTTCGCTATCAGGAGTAACAGGCTAGTTCCAGACAGCTTCTGGGAAGAGGTCTCTCTGTAGCTGCCAACCAGAACCACTCTTTCTTCCCCTTTTCTCTTTACAAATTGGCAAGAGAATCCTACGGAGAGAGACTCAGCCAATACTATTATTCGCCAACCGAACCAGCAGACATCTCACCATCCTGCAGGCTAAACCAAAACAAAACCATCCCAAAAACCAAACAGTAAATATCCTGTTAAACTGTTCACACCTCTTTCCCGCTGTCTCCCAGTAATCGGTACAATGTAGGTTCCCCAGGCTGCCAGGGAGGAGCCAAGAATCATCTTTCTTTGCTATTGGATTGTAGGGCTCAAAACACCAAAACATCAACAGGGATTATGCATGTATTCCTCATCACGGGATCGTGTGAAACTGGAATGTGAGAGCAGAAAAGCCTGCTGGGAGCCAGGAGTCAGTAGCGGGGAGAATAGCATTTTTGAGCATCGACTACTACTGTCTGCCCCATCCCATCGCCTACCCTTGGTAGATGAGATGTCTGAGACTCAGTGCTCACGTGGGCACTACATGAGAATGTCTAATGGAGCTCGTAGACAACTTTCAGTTTCCACCCAGTTTTGTCTCTTTTGAGAGAATCGAGTTGGAGAGGATATGGGAAATGAGCTAGAAGTTAAACATGTCTTCTAAGGATTTAAGGTGCTCAAGAAAATATAAAGTGGGACTGTAGCGGAGAAGTGGAGAATGACATTGTGTGGGTTAATAACGAAATGAAAAAAACGCTACTTTGTCTTTCCCTTACCTTTCCCTTACCCTATAGGGATTATAATTGCAATAATGGTTAGAATATGCCTCCAAACTTGCTTTTATATACCAACAAAATATCCTTCCTAAAGGACCTGCTGCATCATTCTAATAAAACACACAGTATGTCATGGTAGCAGACAAACTTCACCAGCATCACAGCTACATGTACATTACATTAATGCAATGTGATGTTAAGTAGAAGAAACACCTATCATGCCCTTAATCTGTGCCAGGTACTGTGCTTTAGATATTCGCTCTCATTCAACCCTCATATCAACTACCAGGGGCAGGAACTATTATTATTATGGGCAAGGCAAGACTGAAAAAGGTGAAGTGACTTCACCCAAATCACACAACCAGTCAGTGACTCAGCGAGAGTTTGAACAGGAGTCTGACTTCAGAGTCTCAGCTCTTGACTTCCTGTTGCTCAACTTTCCAAACAAGGAGGCAGTATGAGTGAAAAGGAAAGACCTTTAGCAGAAGTTGGTGGGTGCTGCTTTTATGAATGGCTTTCTGACTATCTGTTATGCCAAAGATCTTGTTCCCATTTATCAGCTATTGCCTTCCATAAATCAGAGAATCCACCGCATGCCAGGTCTGCTTGGCACTTCATAAAATGGCAGCATAATGACACATATGGGTGCTCAGTGGGGATGTCCATGAAAAAACCAGAAGTCGCTTTATTAACTAATGAGAAGTGAAGGAGGCCTCAAAGTTGGGTTCATAAGAAAATTCCGATAGAAACAGATGTTCTCTTAGCTAAGACAAGAAGCTGTCAGTACTGAATCACACTAATAGCAAAGTAATAAGCCTCAAAGTAGATAATGAGCTTCCAGAATGGCAACAGCACCTTGCAGCAGCTCCATTACAAATACCCATATTATATCCGCAACATACAGAAACCATCTCTTAACATTCTGATCCGCAGACAACAGCTCTCTTCCCCTTTATGAATTAATCAGCAGTTGGCCAGGAATACACAGACTTTTGAAGAGATCGAAAGAACAGAATTTTTTACCTTAGTGAGAGGAAAAAAAAATTTACCCATTGGCTGAATAGCCACAGGCAAACTCAGCAATGGCATCTTCCCCTCCCTTTTGCTTCACCAAAACGTTATTTTCTATGTGGCATTTCTCTAAGCAGTTAAGAACACGGATAGCCTTCACATGCAGTTGTATCGTGTCTTCAACATAGTCTTTGTCAAGTGGAGTATACAATTGATTTTCCTTTCCTCTGACAACTGAAACCTCATTTTCCTTATTTCCACTCGGTACTAACTTTCAGATTTCTTTTAGCCATCTTTTTTTTTCCCCTCTCTCATTTCTTTGAGAGTCAGGAAGTTGACAGTGAATTGAATTGGAGTTGGTGATTTCCTTTCCTATGGCAGTGAATTCCCTAAAAGAAAGGCCACCCTCCTAGCAGAAGCATATGCTGTCTGTCAACTCTACTCCCCTTTTCCTGCCAAAGGACTGGCATCCAGCTGCGAGTAATTTCATGTTTAGATGGAATGCTAAGCAGAAGAAAGACACCCAGAAAGAAAAAAGCCAACATTCTCTGTCTGAAACAAGCGTCGGGGTTAACAGGAACCACTTGCCAAACCTTCCTAACCGTGCCTGGTTGATTCTTGCTGCACGAGGCGGACGCAAAGCCGATCTGAATCACAGCTGTCTCTGGTAGACGAGAGCAGTCTCAAGTGCCTCTCCCAGGCAGTCAAGGATCACAAGAGAAGATTCTCGATCCCTATTTCTAACCCATTTGTCCTAATTCCACAGAAACAAAAAAAAAACACTCTCCCAAGTATTCACCGCTGGCCCCATCAGGGCTGGGAGGAAGCAGGTACCTTCTGGTTAACTTTGGTGGCGGCCACGGTCAGGTTGTGCAGATCCTGGGCATTACAGTCGGTTTCGTTCATGCAGCAACTCGGGGGGATGCCATGCTCCAGGAAGTAGGGGCTGGTGCTCCAGTTGGTGTAGTTCTGCACACCACAGCAGCTCAGCTATTAACAGGGAAAGGAAAAGCATCAAAGAGTGGAGTATCAAAGCCCATCTCACTCACTGACGTGCAACTTTTAAGAGAAAAATAGGTCAACTCCCTAAGATACTATGCACGGGTGAGTAAAGGCAAACTGAACCTCCACTAACAATTACACTCACTCCCACGTCCACTGGAACTCAAACAGGGCCGTTAGTCCTGGATTACCCATCTGATGGCTTTCTTACATCTCCAAAAGGCAAAACCATGCTTCCCCGTCCTAGCTGCGTATCAGCATCACCAGTGTGAGTTAGGTGCTGTTAAAGATATAGGTGTGCTTGTCAACGAAATCATGACTGTGGGGGGAACAGAGGCAAATAATGGTTTCACAAGCCTCAGTGGTTTAGAAAAAGATGCACAAAGAAGAAGAAAGATGGCGCTCGGGTTGGAAACTACAGCCCAGCAGCCGCCTGTTTTTGTAAATAAACTTTTATTGAGACACAGCCATGTCTATTTGTTTATATGGTGTCTGTGGCTGATTTGGTGCTATGGTGGCAGGGTTGAGCAGTTGTGACACAGTGTGAATGGCCCTCAAAGCCCAGGATATGTACCCTTTGTGCAATTACAAAAGACACTTGCTGACCCCCCTGATGTGGAGAATATTAAAGCAAATGGAAAAAAATATATAATTAACTGGTGAATCTGTGCCAACAGTATATAGTTCCTGTAGTATTCTTGGGATTTTTCTCTATGAATTTGACATTTTATCAAATACATTACAGAATTAAAAATATGGCTGGTGGAATAAAACAAACAACACGGAAGAAAACAAAACCCAAAGCCAGGAACCTCCTCCGCAGGTGGTCCTGATGGGTGGTCAGGTGGAGCAGCAACGGCCACCACCCTAAGGCACTCCGGCCAGGAAACCTGTCTTCCTTTTCCTTAACATCTTCTACAAAGTACCAGATAGCCCATGCCACTCACACACTTGAGCACCTCAGTTACTTCTAAATCCACTCTCTGCCCCCACTACGTTGCCCCAGTTCACCCAAGCTCTCTGCCCAATCCAAAGACACTGATTCCAGAAAGCCACCCTTTGGGAGCATAAGATCCACAGCATATGCTACTGGCACAATCTAGGCGCAGGTGTAAGCCCAGTCCCTGCAAGCAGCTCCCATCCTGATCGTCTGTCCCCGGGACTTACGCTGCGCTGCACATGGTCCACTGCCCGGCTCCTCTCGTCGTTGCCATTGTAATTCTGCATGGCATCCGTGTAAGTCCTCAGGAAGGTGTCCTTGATCTATGGAAGGCCAGTAGAGACATGGTTTCAATCTGCGGCAGCTGAGATGACTCGGTCTCATACCAACTTCTACCCCAACACCACATCTTCTCTAGGTCTCTGAATCAATGTAGGCCAGTGAGGGGATGGAGACCCCGACTGGCGAGGCAAAAGAGCTCGGAAAATTCGCCAAGGGAATGATTAATTCAGGGAAAGCACAAGTTCTCTTGACTCCCCGTGCAGAAGTCTGGCCTGTTAAATGACCCACTAGGGTGACTAGTTGGCTTTGGAAAGGGCTATGAGGGGAACTGCCACACCTCAGGCCTGAGTTTGCCAGTTATTTTGTTTGAACTGATCATGCCCATGTTTCTTTCCATAACTTTCTCTGCCATCACACAGAAGACTGGTTAAAGATAAGCCATGATGGGGGACAGGAAGACTGATGGTTTGGTCAAAAGCTGATCCCTTCTGGACCACACAAGAATGGAGCAAACCAGGGCTGACGCTGGTGCATAAACGGGTAAAGCTGCCGCCTGAGGTGCCAGCACCCATATGGGTGCTGGTTCAAGTCCTGGCTGCTCTACTTCCAATCCAGCTCTCTGCTGTGGCCTGGGACAGTAGAAGATGGTCTAAGTCTTTGGGCTCTTGTACCCACGTGGGAAGACCCGGAGGAGACTCCTGGCTTCGGATCGGCACATCTCCAGCCATTGCAGCCAACTGGGGAATGAACCAGTGGAATGGAGGACCTCTCTCTCTCTCTCTCCCCCTCTCTTTCTGCCTCTCCTTCTCTCTCTGTGCAACTCTGACTTTCAAATAAATAAAATAATTCTTGGAAAAAAAATAATAATGGAGCAAACCAACATTCACTTACCTGTCTTTATTGGGGGGGGGGGGGTCTGAAGGAAAAGATTTTTTCTTGTTAATAAAGGGTTAACAAATCTTGGGGTAACTTTCAATTTCTGTTCCACTGGAAGCCACATGAAAGTGAAGTGTCAGGGCCAGCATTGTGGTTCAGGGGTAAAGCCACCACCTGCAATGCTGGCATCCCATATGGGTGCCAGTTCAAGTCCCAGCTCTCCACTTCCAATCCAACTCCCTGCTAATGCATCTGGGAAAACAGTAGAAGATGGCCCAAATGCATTGGCCCCTGCCATCCATGTGGGAGACCAGGATGAAGTTCCAGGCTCCTGGCTTCATCCTGGCCCAGCCCCAGTTTTTGTAGCCACTTGGGGAGTGAACCAGCGGATGGAAGATCTCTGTCTCTCCCTCTAACTACCTTTCAAATAAATAAACAAATAAATGTTTTTTAAAAAACTGATGTGTCAGGTATGTTACCTGGCAAGCTGTCTTACTATAAAACTGACCCCTGTCTGGGCCACTAAAAACCCCTGGGTGGAATACAGTCACAGTCGCACACAAGAGGAGAGAAGGCAAGAGCTCAGGTAGGAGTGAGTGAGGCTGCTGCTGCTGTTCACAACGCACGTGGGGCAGGTTATTAGGGCTGTCCGGGCCACCATGACTTCAACAGGTTTCACCTCACCTGAGAATGGGAACACACCGTGTGTGTGTGTGTGTGTGTGTGTGTGTGTGTGTGTGTTGGTGGGGGCAGGGGTGGTTCTAATTCCAGATGCAGCACCCATACAAGACAGCTTGTGGGAGTGAATGTTGGCATCTGGAATCCTGTCTCTGGTACTGGGAAACCTAGTACAAGAGGGCAAGGGGGTGGAAAGCACATTAAGATGAGCTCCCTGGAAACAGCCAAGCAGGACAGCAAGCCTTGGTCACTGGCCACGCTGGATTTTCAAGAGCCACAGCCTCCTTCTTCCTCCTGTATCTTGTTATCCTGCCAACTTTTCACCAAATGTGTACTTACTACTGGCTGGCTGGATTTGTGGGGTGCATACGACTTTATAAGGCAGCAGGACAACTAGTTCGGTGTTATGCAGACACCCAGTCGTGCCCTGTTGAAGCAGCTATTTTTAAAGGAATATTTGATCAATATTGAAGGTCATTGCTTCAGAACAGGGAAGAAGACCGTTCTGTGCAATAGCATACATTGTACAGAAGAGGACAACCAATCAAGACCTCAAGTTTAGTGGCATCCCTGCAGTTAGAGTATCTTTGCAATCGCAGGTCATTTGGGAAACAGAGCCTTTAGCTGAGCTCTCCACTCACCTCGTGACGAAACACAAATCCTGAAATGCCAGCGACGAGCTCAGCCAGGAACACCAAGGACAGGAACATGGCATACTGAAAATCAACGGGACACGGGCAAAGTCAGACATGTCAGTATTATGGACAAGGCTACTTCCGGTTATGCTCCCTACATACACAAACTTGAGAAAAAAATTTAAACATTCTCCAGATTGACTCCCATGAACCTCAACACAGGTGTCTGTTTAATATGCATAACTGTTTGGGAGTGCACATGCTAAACAGAGTTCACCAGGAAATTGTGCCTTTCACCTTGGCTCGACCAGGGAAAACCTGGAAAGGCCTTTCAGAACTAAGCTATTCACACCGGTTCGAGTCTCGGCTGCACCACTTCTGATCCAGCTGCCTGCTAATCTGCCTGGGAAGGCAGCAGAAGATGGCCCAAGTGCTCAGGCCCCTGCCACCCACAGTGGGGACCCCAATGGAGTTCCAGAAGCCTAGTTTTGTCTGGACTAGACCCGGCCCTTGTGGCCATTTGGGGAGTAAACTAGCGGATGAAAGATCTTCCTCTCTCTCTATCTCTTCCTCTGTTTCTGTTGCTCTTTCAAACAAATAAAATGAATACTAAGAAAAAGAAACCTTGAGCTAGAACAAAGTCTGCTCTAAAGGTCACAAGACCCAGTTCTATCCTGTCTGGGCCAGGGGCAGAGGGGGTGGTTCTATGGTCATCTAGCATCTGTGAGCCCACCCCCTGCAGCCCACTGCATTTAGAAACTGTCAATTATTGGAAAGACTTCCTCTCTCTGGCTCACAAGCCCGCCTACTTCTCATTTCCACTTGCTGGTGGGGGTTGTGCTTTCACGACCTGTAACAAGAGCCCAGCCTCCGTTGTATACATTAGCCCTATATATGTTCTACACACGGCTGCCATGTGAAGCTGCTGCTCCCGTTCATTTGAGCAAACTCTTCCCATTTCCTCAACCACGTCTCATTGAAAATGGCTACAGCCTGGCATTGTTTTCTTGCCACCCAGGCCGAGACACCAGCATGTGCACAGGAGGGCGCTCCTCCGCAATAGGGAGTGGTCCCTGGACACAGCACCCTCAGCAGCTTCCCATGGAGATGCTTGCCTCTCTTGTTCTGGACGCTTCATGGAATTTACAGCCTTTAAAAAAGGAAATCTGGAGGCCGGTGCTGTGATGTAGTGCGTAAAGCCACCACCTGCAGTGCCGGCATCCCATATGGGCACCGGCTGCTCCACTTCCAATCCAGCTCTCTGCTATGGCCTGGGAAAGCAGTAGAAGATGGCCCGAGTCCTTGGGCCCCTGCACCTGCGTTCGAGACCCGGAAGAAGCTCCTGGCTCCTGGCTTTGGATTGGCCCAGCTTCAGCTGTTGCAGCCATTTGGGGAGTGAACCAGCAAATGGAAGGCCTCCCCCTCCCTTCCTCCCTCTGCCTCTCTGAAACTCTTCCTTTCAAATAAATAAATAAATCTTAAAAAAAAAGTAAATATGCTACTCTACTAATGATGTTTGCAAGCATCTAAAACCCTTAGTGCTTCTCATTTTGTGTTGCCTGTACTTCCCAAGTTGACTGTGTGCTTGTGTGTGTGTGTGTGTGCACATGCATGCAATACACATGTGCATCCAAGTTCAGGGTATGACGTGGTACTTACCAGACGTTAAGGTTTTCCATTTTTGTGACTTTGAAAAGCAGATAAAAGGAAGGAGAACTGATTCCTTAAATGGCTTAAATGGTGCAGTGGAATCTGGGTAGACTGCACATGGCTACATTACTTACCTGTAAAGTGTGCACACGTCTTGTAAAATATTCACATGGATATAGAATCATAAACTAGTGGCATATATATTACAAGAAGGAAATACTGCCTTAACTTACCAGTATCTTTCAAAATTTTACCCAAATTCTCTGCAAACAAAGCCCAGGCACTGGAATATGAAATGTGCAGTTGGAGAATGTCCAATGAACGTGACTTCTCTTCTCTCAACTGTATACAAAATGCAAGTCGGAGCACACTTTCCTCAGGAAAGGGTCTCGCAACAGGCCTACACCCACCAGAAAGGCATGTGCAGGAGTAACTGCAGGAGGCAGGAAGGACATTCGCCTCCGTGCTCAGAAGGCTCCCTAGGATTGAGTGCTGGACTTAGTCTTAGGAAAGAGGCAAGCTCTCTGGGCCTCCATAAAATAGGCAGAGTTATTTTCAGTTGTCTTGTAATTCATGAGGTTCAATGAGAACCATAGAATCCTGGTTTAACAGTTAATCAAATTGCTTCCACCCTCATCAGCCAGATGAACACTTATCTCTTGCAAGTTCTTTGTAGAAGCTTCTAGACAGCAGCTGCTTCACCTACAGAAGGCCATGGTCAAAACCCCCCTGGGAACAGCTTGTATTAAATACAGGTGGTAGGGGCTGGAGTTTTTCTCCCAAAGGTAAACACTGGAGGAGAGATAGTGCCAGCTTTCGAAAGAGGCATGTGTGGGGTTTTCAAGAAGTTCACGGGCAATGCACATTATTTAAAAAAAAAGAGCTATGAGTGAATTTCAAACATTTGCACTAAAATAAACTTATCTTTTAACAAGGCAACATGGCTCTGATAGAATCTGCTTCCCCTTTCATGGAATTAGAGAATTAGATTTCTGCAACTTTTTTTTTTTTCTTTTTTTTTTTTTTTTTGCTTAACACCTTGTTAACATTTCTTTATTGACTCCTTCAATCCTCATCAGTGGAGAACATGGACACGGAGTGGGGAATTGGGTAACTGGTCTACCAAAGGTTGAAAATCACAGCAATAGCCTTTCTTTTTTTTTTTTTTCTGTTGACAGGCAGAGTGGACAGTGAGAGAGAGAGAGACAGAGAGAAAGGTCTTCCTTTGCCGTTGGTTCACCCTCCAATGGCCGCCGCGGCCAGCGCGCTGCGGCCGGTGCACCGTGCTGATCCGATGCCAGGAGCCAGGAGCCAGGAGCCAGGTGCTTTTCCTGGTCTCCCATGGGGTGCAGGGCCCAAGCACCTGGGCCATCCTCCACTGCACTCCCTGGCCACAGCAGAGAGCTGGCCTGGAAGAGGGGCAACCGGGACAGAATCCGGCGCCCTGACCGGGACTAGAACCCGGTGTGCCGGCGCCGCTAGGCGGAGGATTAGCCTAGTGAGCCGCGGCGCCGGCCCAGCAATAGCCTTTCAATAGTCTGCCCTTACTCTTTGGGAAGTGTCACTGTTTTGTCTGTCCTACTAGAATATGGGCACCCTGCACTATTCCTGGTAGCCAATACTTGGCACTGCATCAACCCTCTAAGAGGAGAAGGTCTGGCTTAGCTCAACTTCCACAGCACTGAGCCAGGTGGTACAGGCTTAGAGAAGAGCGTACGCACGCACCCAGGCTCAGCCAGGCTCAAGGAGGCAGAAAGCATTTCTCCAGTGGGGCCTTGGAGGGGAAAGGTGCTTATGCTCTGTCATCATCTCCCTCAAGGGACTGCATTTACTGTGCCAGGCTGCATTTGGAGTTGTTTTCCCCTCTAGTGGATTTGGTGAGGGTCTAGACTAAAATTAGAATCAGTGAATATGAAGGCTGATATGTGGCTTTAAGAAAGACCATTTCACTCACCTATACTTTACATTTTGGCAAACAAAAAGGAGCCAGTACTGGGTTGTGACAAACTCACCAGCTTCAGCATCCATGGGCTACCACGGCATGTAGCAAAGCATCCAAACAGGCCAAAAACGACGATGGTGGTGCCAGTTCCGATGAGCACGTAGGGAGCATTTGTGGAGTTCTCGGCGATCAGGGAGATATAGGTGCCCAGAGTGAGCTTGCCCCAGACTCCAACAGCCAGCAGGATCACCCCAGTGATCTGCAAAAGAGAATAGAGTGTGAAACCATCGCTGAGAGTGATAAGAACTGACACAGAGCAATGTGGTCAGATTTGAAGATTCAAGTTTCCATGAGCAAGATGGTACTTGTTGTCGGATTCCCCAAGCGACGGGAGATGTCAGAGACCATTAACTAAAACCACCACAGAGTAAAGACATTGTGATTTTGTACAATTAGATCTGCCTATTCACAATCCCATCTGTAATTATGTGTTCATTGGAGGTCAAGCCAACAACAACTTTTAAAAAAAAAAAAAAGAAAAAAGCTACTTAAAAAATATATCACAGGCCGGCGCCGCAGCTCACTAGGCTAATCCTCCGCCTAGCAGCGCCGGCACACCGGGTTCTAGTCCCGGTTGGGGCGCCGGATTCTGTCCCGGTTGTCCCTCTTCCAAGCCAGCTCTCTGCTGTGGCCAGGGAGTGCAGTGGAGGATGGCCCAGGTGCTTGGACCCTGCACCCCATGGGAGACCAGGAGAAGCACCTGGCTCCTGCCATTGGATCAGCACAGTGCGCCGGCCACAGCGGCCATTGGAGGGTGAACCAACAGCAAAGGAAGACCTTTCTCTCTGTCTCTCTCTTTCACTGTCCACTCTGCCTGTCAAATATATATATATATATATATATATATATATATATATATATATTTATCACAGAGCAGATCTAAGAGCCTTCCCCCAGTTGCTGCCCAAACCATGCTGGCTACAACCTCAGGAAGACTGAATCACCCTCTCTGATGGTGTGTGTCTGCAGTATAAGGAAATCCTGTACTGTGCTTTCTGGAATAGGTGATTATTCTTGACTATGATCACAAAATCTTTATAGAAGCAAAATATTCCATACAGTTTGGAATCCCCATTGAGGTGCTGTCTCATTTACAATGTTATATTCAATATCAAACAACAGAAGAGTCTGAACAGTTCCTGGAATTAGCCGTAATGTGACTTGTCAAATCCCATTGATCAGTCTAAAGGAAATCTCTACAGTGTGTTTAACTCTAGAACCTTCCATCAATCAGGCCCCTGCTTCAGAGGACGCTGTGCTTTATTCACACACACACACACACACACACACACCCCGCACAAAAGGCTCCACATTCCTGCAGTTTTAGCTGCAGGAGCCACTGCTTGCATTGTATCTCTAACCATCTCCCCAGCCAGTCTATCCTACAGCTGACGATCGCTTAGCCGGATGTCCCATGTCAAATGTGTCACATCTCTCTAGCTTGCTCATTCCAGTGATCAGGCAAGAGGAGAAACTGGAAAAATGCAACAGGATACAAATCAATGTCTACCTTGTAAGTGAACACCACCAAATGCATTCTCTGCCATGAACCAAACGGCTGGGCCACAGAGGATGCCCAGGCCTCTCTCCTTTATACCCTGAAAATACTTTCTGTACTTTGGAGGCATGATGCTTCAGTATCAGATTTTTCATCCACATAAGAATCAGAATGGACTCTGTACCCTTCCCATATTAGCATAGGGTGGGCTCTACCTATGGGGGGTGGGGGGGGGTCAGCAAAAACAACAAGATATTGGTAATATTCCCCTACCACCTACCCCATCCCAACAGCCTCTCAGCTATGTAGAACCATCACCAGGAAAGACAGAATTAAAAGTTTTAAATGACAAGATTGAGGAACTACTGTTTTTATTAGGCAAAGGTGCATGACTGTGATGAAGTCTTGAGGAGAAAGGGTTTGACACTAATTACATTTAGGAGAAGGAGGCCCAGGGCAGGTTGATTTCCTTTGAAAAGTGCCAATGGGGAGGGCCTTAGTGAATTTAGAAATCCAAGAATGCCGATGTGGCCAAGAGTTCCAAGTCCTTTGCTGACACCTGGTGGTTGTTATAAAAAAGTACTTTCTTGAACAGTCTCTTTTGCAATATTCCTCCAGGCAAAAACAAAATGGATTTTTTTTATCTGCTTGAGTCAAAATGAAAGCATCAACTCTTAAGTAATTAGGGGTAAGGACACAATGAAGGCTATGTAGAAAGGTACAGGGCTATCTTTTATTGCTCAATTCCTGTAACCATGCCAGACACAGTGTAAACGCTTACTATTCATCAACCACAGAAAACATTCCATTCTTCTGGATCTTAGAATCTGATTTTCATAAAGCAGAGGCTGTCAAATGTCAAATACTTGCAAAACTTCTATGTCAGGTAAATATTGTGTGGTAATTTAAAATGGAACCAAAGAGAAATTCTCCCATACTTTCTACTCTAGCATTATCTGCCTAAAGCTATACATATCACAATGTGATACTGAACAAAAACAAAAATTCAGTTAATGAAGTCATTGTTTAGGCTGAATACAAGCCACGTCTAGAGAACTGTGACATCATAGCCAAAGATTTAGCGACACTTCAAGTATGTACTGAGCAGCTGTATTCTATGTATGATTGCTGGTCACATCGGAATGTGACTGCTTTCATAAAAACATATGCTACTGATCAAGAATTAGCATCTGATACTGGGGGTGGCTGTTAGGTCTAGCAAGGAAGATGCTACTTGGGACACCCACATCCCATATTGGAGGGCCTAGGTTCAAGTTCTGGCTCCACTTCCAATTCCAGCTTCTTGCAAATGCACACCCTGGGAGGCAGCAGGTGGTGGTTCAAGTACTTCAGTCCCTGCCATCCATGTGGGAGACCTGGACTGAGATCTGAGTTCCTGATGTCTGCCTGGCCCAGCCCTGACTACTGTGGGCATCTTGGGGAGTAAGCCACAGATGGAAGATATTCTCTCTCTCTCCCCCAAATTAAAAAATAAAAATTGACTTTTTAAAAAAAATCTAGTATCATTTTACATTTCTGTAACCAATGATTTCATGAAGTTCAGTTAGTACCATAACAAATATTATATACAGTGCGTCAAAGTTAACACAAATTCTGATTTTAAGGCAGAGTATTAAGCCCGTTTTGATGTCTTTGCTCCTTTCAAAAACTAATTCAGGGGACAGTATTGTAGTGCATGGCATTAAGCCACTACTTGTGACAATGAAATCCCATTATTGGAGTGGTTCAAATCCCGACTGCTCCACTTCTGTTTCAGCTCTCTGGTGTGCACCTTGGAAAGCAGCAATGATGGTCCAAGAACTTGTGTCCTTGCCACCCACATGGGAGACCCAGATGGAGTTCTGGGCTCGTGGCTTGAGCCTGACCTGGCCCTGGCTGTTGCAGGTATTTGGGGAGTGAAGCAGGGGAAGGAAGATCAATCTCAATCAATCTTTTTTTCTCTTTCTCCCCTCATGTCACTCTATCTTTAAAATACATAAATATTGGGGCCGGCCAGCACTGTGGTGTAGCGGGTAAAGCCACCACTTGCAATGCCGGCATCCCATATGGGCACTGGTTTGAGACCTGGCTGCTCCACTTCTGATCCAGCTCTCTGCTATGACCTGGGAAAGCAGTAAAAGATGGCCCAAGTCCTTGGGCCCCTGCACCCATGTGGGAGACCCAGAGGAAGCTCCTGGCTCCTGGCTTCGGATCAGCACAGCTCCGGCTGTTGCGGCCATCTAGGGAGTGAACCAGTGGATGAAAGACTTCTCTCTCTCTCTCTCTGCCCCTGCCTCTCTGTAACTTGGCCTTTCAAATAAATAAATAAATCTTCTAAAAATGTACATCAACATTTAAAAATACATAGTCTATCCCAATATAAACATTGCTTTGCATATGAAGTGTATATGAAGCCTCACTTCCCATAAAGCAGGTCTACAAACCTATTTGTTACAATGTTCATAGAATGCAAGTTACAGATACTCCATGTTTAGAAGACTGTTTTGTGAAGACCCCAGTGACAACTCTTAAAGTGTATCAAATGGGTACAAACATACATACCACTCTGAATACCATATTGCATGGGAGAAAAACCATCCCACATTCGGATCTTGACCCAGTCAACAACGCTGAGGAACTCACTGTCCTCTGAGTGACATGGGGACTTGTAGCACCTAAGTGCCAGGAATCTGAGGACAACTCAGGGAGGACAGCTTTTTGCCAATGCTCTTACTGTTCTATGCAAACACTCCTGATGGAGCAGCTCTGTATTTGGAAAGCTCAAGTCGACATATGGAAGGCCGTCTGCATATACCACAGCCCACCTCTCCACTCCTATCTTTCTCACCGCCTTTTATGTGCTCTATATAGTTCCAGCTGTGCCAAATTCCCTTCCCATGTACGTCGAGGCGTGTGCTCTCTGAAGGCAGGAGCTGTGTGTCTTGAACAGAGTTGATGTCCAGTGTATGACTGCTCAGTGAATAAGCAGCCAATGGTAGAGTTAAGAGAGGGCAATAAGTTTCATGTTAGCCATACTCCTGCTACACTTTCTGAACCTCTGTGAAGATCTATCAGAATGATAAGAATGCCAATGTGATCCACTGAGTGGGCTGGTAGTCTGGGGAAACAACAATGATAGGATGAAGAAAAGATTAAGCGGACAAGGGAGAAAATGGTTGGGTTGGTGCGCAGCCTTCGGTGAGTAGGACAATACGTGGTGGTGGTAGTGTTAATGGACTTGAATGAGTGTTAGAAGAAATCGCCATGCAGTAAGTGGAAGGGAAAAACTCCAAGCAAAGGGCAGAAGATCCGTAAAACACAATAAACCGTCACTCTCACATTTTTCCTGCTGTGAAAATGCTTCCCAACCCAAGGGTAAGAAAGAAACATACAAAGACAACAGTCAGCATCATGTGCATGGTTTTTTTCTTGGTTCCTGTCAACACACACTCAGTCACCCATACACGGATCTTTCCAATCACCCACAGGAGAGACAGTTCACAAACATTTGGAAGTTCCGGGTGAAAAAAAGCAAGAGACAGGTTCTTTTGACATCATCTCTTTGCTGCTTTTAGGTGCAATGAGTGCGTTCCGAGCTCACAAAGCAATCTGGGTCTGAGCTCTTCAGAGACCTCCAGTTTCCACGTCAAGCGTGAGTATTTGTTACCTTTCCCATGGCAGTTTTGCTCCTGTCTCAGAAT